CGATCAATGTCCACACAACACAAATTTTTTGTCTTCTTTCATTGGTTCAAGTCAACATGATGAATCTAACATTCCAAATCAAAGCGATTCAATTAGTTGGTGAGTTGCTGTGTGACTCGATCGGTTGACAATTGGATCAAAGAGTTCTTTGGGAATCTTGGCATGATAGATAACAAGGGCATAATTATTTGAGCTATTTTTTGGGTTACGTTTAGCTTGGAGACTTGAAGACTTGATAATAAGGATGTCTTATGTCTTTTGGACTCTGCTTGCCTTTTACTTGTGCAGTCTCGTTGTTATAGTCGGCATCATTATCACATTATTATTAGACATATTCAAGATTTATTAGGTATGAGTTGGCAAGTGCAACTTCAATATACTTTGCGAGAAGGAAATAAATGTGCTGATTTTTTAGTTAGGTTGAACTTATATTCAAGTTTTGTGTATCTTGAGTTGGACTCCTTCCTTTGAATTTGAAACCACTCCTTTTAGTTGATGTTATGGGAGTAGAGTTTCTTTGTGTGTAACTTTTTTTTCTTTTTTTTTTTTCTTCTCTAATTATACATTATTTACAAAAAAAAAACCAATTAATTAGTTTTAATATTTTCTTAATTTGGGAGGGACCTAAACTAAACCAATTGAAATTTGATAATTAATTTGGATATCATATTCACACTTTTAAAATTTGAACTATCTCTGTACAAACAAATTATTTATGTATTATTTTTTAATTTATTAGTTAACATAATAAATATTGTGTGTTTTGAAACAATTTTTTGCCTTTTAGTTTCAAATTCAAGGTTTCACAAATAAATCTGTGTGTATGTGTTGGCGCATTTTTTCACTTTCTGCAGAATGGGACGATTAATTCTAATGCAATGTCTGGTATTATCTTGGGATTGTCAGGTGTTGTCATGGTCGAGAGCATAATTTGCTCTCTATGTCACTCGCATTATACATGGGTTGGTCCATGCTAAGAGCAGGAGTTTCAAAGAGCTCCCTGTGGTGTTCACGCTAGGCATAGGATGACTGTCGTTGGAATTTGTCTTGTACCTAGTGATTCTCCATGCTTGTAACTAAGGTTTGATTAATATGCATGATTCTTGTGCTAAATGATGTAGATAGTTGAGTATGATAGAGTGAATAATAATTTATGATATTATGAGGTATGGCTGATGTAAGTGATGTGAAATCCTATTAGCAAAATGAAAAATTGATGTGTGTGGATCCTGTGAGGGTCATGTGATGATAACTTAACAAATTATTAATGTGCACTATGATAACATGATATTTTATTGAGTCTTGTATGATATTCGTCATATACATTAAATATTTTGATTAGTATGATATAAAATACGCTACCAAAGAAGGTCCTTTTTGTGTAAAAACTTGAGAACTCATGACTTTGAAGATAGTTGGGTTTGTGAACCCCCAAATTTGCCCTCTTATGTGCATAGGGGTGGAACTTGTGCGACATAATTGTCCCAAGGAGTCCCTAATGTATCTTCTTTTAGTGTAGAGTGCAATGAGGGTGTGACTCAACATGTTCTTCTAGGCTACTCTTATGTGCCTTCAAACAAAGGGTAACACGATGTGATTTTTACTAACATCACATGTATATGCACATTGATATTCGTGTCCATTATATTATGCCTTTTAGTGTGTAATCTTGTGGAGAACCTTGTTGTGAAACATGATTGACCTTGTTGTGCCATCTTGTTATATATATATATATATATATATATATATATATATATAGAGGGTGTTGGTGGAGGAAGAGCAATTATAGCACCTGGTAGGAGAGCCAGGTAGGCCTCAGATGGAGTGAAGGGGATGTTCGGGTAGTAAGGTGTGCATTCGTAAACCCCTTCCTCGTATTCGTACACCGATGTAGAGAAGTCTTGTTGGCATGGTGGAGATAAGGTTTGAGCTATTTGACCGTGAGGGTCAGCGACAACAAGAGCAGGAAAATGCTTCAGAAGATAGTACGCAGACGAAGGATGTCTGGACTGATCTTCAGCCTTTTGTGGAGAGGAGGAAGAAGACTTCTGCTTGAGTCCAAAGGCTGGTGGACGAGCAAGTCTGGAGAAAGGAGTTGGAGGAAGAGGTTTCTCTAAGTGGTAGTACTCTAGTCCATAAGTTGGCTTGTTGGAGATGATAGCTTCATACTTGTATGAGTTCCCTTGCGAGTCACGCAGAGGGTTTCCTAAAGCGTCCAGTATGGTGGAGCCTTCTTCAAGCCAAGAGTACACTGGTCTGTAATACCCCAAGGCATGTTTAGTGGGATTCTACTAATAGGTGATTTCGTTAAGTGTAGAAATTATGATAGGTCGTTACATTAGTTTAAGTAATACTAAACTTGATCCCCTTAAGTAAAATCTTGATTTTGGGTCTTTTATATATATATATATATATACATTGTTGTTATACTTGTTATGCCATCATGACTATATTGTTGCATGTTATTTTTTTTGTGATATTTATGAGCTTGTTGTTGCAGATGAGGGTTATTACGACGTTGATGATGTTAGTGACCAGACTTATATCTTGTGTTAGGTTATATTTTGATAGGATGTAACACCAAGACATAGTTAAGATTTGATTTTTTACTATTCAATTTTATGTTAAGACATGATGTTAGACTTGCATTGTAGTTACTTTTCATTAGATATTTTTATTGGAGTTGTCAATTTTAATTATTATGTGATATTTTCTATCAAACTCGATATTATCTAGTTGATTTTCTATTCATGGATTCAATTCCTTTAAAATATTCTATTGTTATGTTTATCTACCGTGTTACATGCAAATGCAAATATTATTGATCTCTATCTAATTCAATGGCTTGATATGTAGTGTACAATATTAGAAGACAAACAAATGATTTATTATATGATATGCTATTATTTGGGTAATATAAAAGAGCACGAATAATTAACTATATATTTGCTTAGTCTAATATATATCGATATATATCAAATGTTAGAAAAGATCGATATAGTAGTTATTGTGGCAATGGCTAAAAGGTAGGAAAAAATTTCTTACTCTTTAGCAAATTGGATCAAAGTGTATAGACGTTATATTCATCTATGAAGGTGCGTGGAGAAATACTATAAAGCTGGCTACTTTTGCTTATTTTTATAACTGTTAATCATGTTTATCATAATGTTTTTTAGTTAGTACTCATGGTGTAGCATATCACAAAATTTTGTGTGTATATACTAAAATATATTATTAATTTCCTTTTTTCAAAAGAAATATTATTTTTGTTTTCAAAAACAAAATTATTATGGTATATATATATTTCGTAGAACAACCCAAAAGAAAAGGCCAACGACCTATACAAATAGAACAACCAAAAAACCGAATAGAACAGATAGCCACAATAGCAATGCGAAGCAAAAAGGTGTTAACAAAACCTTGATTCATACCTGATGAGCTGCAACAGTGTGCGAATGAGTAACAAAGAGTTCACCCCGAACGGGTCGTTCTGCTGGCATTCGTTATGTTTTTTTTTGCTACTTTTTTATGTCAAACCTTTGTAATGTCCGACGTAAATTTACATCGGTTTTACAGGGCTGACGTAGATTTACGTCTCCCGCATTAACGTCGGTATTTTTTCTGACGTAAAAAGCTCAAAATAATCGACGTGGAATACCTCTTTTGTACTAGTGCAGGGATTCTGGTGTTGTTCCCATCATGTGAGTATTATAATGTCTCTCTAGGCGTCTCAATTGGGGAGGAAACGTGTGGTAAGAATTCTTGTGTTGTACCTATCGCGTGAGTATTGTGATGCCTCTCCAAGGTTTGTATTGGGGATGTGTGGCAAAAATCCTGTGTTCTTCCCGCTATACAAGTATTATGATGCCTCTCCAAGCATCTTTTGGATTTTCTCTGATTGATTGGTTGGCAAGAACCTTGTGTTTTTCCTGCTAGGGTGAGTATTATGATGCCTCTCCAAGCGTCTGTTGTAGACGTTGAGTTTTTCCTTTGTGGATGGTTATTGATTACTGAAGTTGAGCCATGTGAATGTATTATCGGAATTTTGTTTGGGATGGTGAGTATTATTGTGCCGGCCTCTCTAGGCCGCCTGTTGTGAATTTTATGATCTGGTTCCTTTTTTAGTTAGGCGGGGATGTATGATGTGGGTGGATAGTTTATGGGTAATGCCCCTGTGCATGGTGGGTAGAAGGTCGTTCTTTTGGTGATCATGTCTTTGTTTTTTCCTGTTGGGGACTCAGGAGAAAATGCTATGGATGCCCTAGCAAGCTCTATTGTTGGCTTAATATTGGGTGTCGATGACTGAGAGGGAAAATGATGCCTATCGATGTGATGGGGAAAAACTTTTGAAGTCCCTAGCTTTGACTATATTGCCTTTATATAGGCGGTTATTTGTTGGGGTTCGTGTGGTTTTGTTTTTGGATAAGGGAGGCATGGTGACCCTACCCCCTATTTGGATCCTCAATATCTAGTGGCCTGAACGATTATTAGTCTTGGATGACCTGATCGAGTTTTTTCCGTTAGTGCATTTATCGGATTTTATTTCCCTAGCTTTGGCTTTTTCAATTTGTTTAAAGCTTTTCCTTGTTTCTGCATTGTTGTTTGTCATCACTATTGGTGGAGAGATCCTTTCTTCATGATCATGGTGCTTGTTGGATCTTTATTGATAAGTATTGATAGTCACTCCTGGCTTTGGTGAGGAAACCATTCCCGATCTTGGCATTCTCTTGAATCATCCTTAATTTAGTGGAGGACAACATAAAGCTCGGTCTAAGATAGAGTAGAGCTTAGTGACTTCTTCATGTTTTTAGGCTCGTTTATTCTTTTTGAGCAAGTTTTACTTCAACTTGGTGGCTATATGGAACCAGTTATAGAGAGTGCCCCCTGTTGGGCTAGGTGATAAATCGTAATTTTCATGCATTTTCTTATCTTTGTGAGCTCCTATTAAATGTTGTTAGTGTCTAATTATTTTCTCCTGCCATATTTTACTGAGAAAAAAAAAACCATGCTCAAAAATCTTACATTTTCAATATATCACCTTCTTCCAACACTGTCTCGTCACTAGCTAGTGGAGAGAAATGGCAGACCACATTGTTTACAGATAAGCAAGTTGGGAAAGTAACACCTCTCTCAATCTTCCTCTTCACGTTCTTGTACACATTTCCAGTTTGTCTGTACACACACATAAAACAAACTCTATAAGCTATAATCCAAAAATATTAAAAATAAATAAATAAACAAAACAGCAATTCCGTATGCATATATGAACATGTATGTTAAAAAAGTATCACAATTCACAAATAATGCTCCTTCATATATAAATAATAAAACCTTACTCTCTAATATAGGAATCGTGTATGTTTACAGACATTCACGATTATTTTCTCTTGCTTGCCATGGTTTTTTGGGTGACAGGGGAGATCTTGGTGATGATGGTTGGTCTTCGAAGATTAAAGGACCCGGTTCACTATCCTGGCCATGGAGCAGAATGAAAAACATCAAAAAATCAACTGAAGTCGTCAAACAGTTTATAACAGAGCAGGATATTATAAAGGATTTCAAACCTTTCCACTACAATCACCAACAGCAAGCTTGACCTTCTCACACACATTAGATTTACAAGTGAAATAACCTCCATGTTTTTCCTCATTTCCATCATATAAAAAGACAATCCCTCTATAAATGTGCTTGACAATTCCTTGTTTACCATGCAAAATGACATAATAGATAAGATATCATGTGAAGCATGAAGATTCCAAATATACCACAAAGAAAAACCTGCTCATTCAGAGATAACAGACCTTAGATGGACCCTCCAGAACCTTGACAGTATCATTAACCAATATAGTCTTACAGTTGATCTAGGGCAGTAAGTTTCAAATCAAATAGCCCACTCTTTACATGATATAATGATTCCAGAGAAGTGGAGACAAAAAAATTACAAAAACGAGTAAATAATTGAGAAATCAGGGGAGAGAGAGAATTAGCATACAACTTGTAGATACGAGACTGTGACAAAATCAGTATCTGGAGATAAGTCGGCAAAAATATCCTCCATGGAACGAACCATGATACCACGATCAGAGGCATCACCATCCCCTAGTCGTCCAAGGGTAAAAGTTTTCCCAGTTCCAGTTTGACCATAAGCCATCACGGTCCCATTGTAACCATCAAGAACACTCTACAAACCAGACATCAAACACGTATTAAGCTATAGAGCATTGAGGAAATGTGATATGACAATGTCTTGATGAATATAATGTATAAAGACACTTATATTTTTGTTTTTTACTTTTAATTTTTCTTCCTATCTCTCACTTCCGTGCATTACATTCGTTGCATTTACTTTATTTCGTTTTTTTTCTTCTTTTTTTGATGCATAAAATAAATTCGAAGATTATCCAATCCCTTTCCTTGAATTTTAGATAAGATTCATTGCAAACGGGGGAAAGCTTGGGCACGTTCCAATCATGATGGTCTGGCCAACTCTCGTTATTGATTACCCGATTATATAGGGTTCACGAACAGAAACATTTTACTTTTCACTGATCATAAAATATCATTTTATGGTACAATGATTTCCAAATGTTGATTTTGCAAATTGTGAAGTCTAATGTGTGTGAATATCGTAAACTCTCTTAATAATGTATTTTATTTTCATAAATTAAAAAAAATTCAGGAAATTAATTACTGCAGTGCGGAAAAATGTTCATTTCATTTCACTATATACATTATACTATACATATCCGAAATAGACGAAAACTTGAAAGAACCAAGTAATAGAAATAATTGTAGGACACGTTATACATAATAGATGAAGAAAAAAAATGAAATAACGTAGTAATATTCATTACATTAATAAGGTAGAAAACCAATCCGAAAAGGCCAACATAGAATCATGAATTGGAAGCTTCGGTGTGGTTGTGATCTGATACTCGAGAATTTTTCTTGTGGTGCTGCTTGGAGACCCATGAGAAACACCCACTTGATGCTTTGTCCTCGGAACCCGTTTCGATTGTAGAAATCTCGGTGTCTGTGTTTTTGTCTCCCTCTTCTTCTTGTGCTCTTTTCTTCATTTTATCCATGTATATCTTTCGCGTCACGTATGCTTCAGCTAAACCAAACCCCGCCGATGCAATGGCCATATAGTTACAATTTTAGGAATCAACAATATTGAAGGTTTCTCTGAAGTGTGAAGCGAGAAGTGAGATGTGGTTGCTTTATATAGACTTGTATGGGCTTGTGTTGTGGAACAAGCAAAAAAGTGGTCCAATATGAACAACTAGTTCTCCGGAAATTTCCTTTCTTTCAAAGTTTGGGTGTGGCAGGCGAGTAGGACCCTCATTTTGCCGCCTTTTCGTTTTTCCATTGGTTCTTGACCTTTTATGCAGTGCCGGGGCAGTGGCAAGAACATTTAGACAACTAGGCCCCTCAATCCTTATATATATATATATATATATATATATATTTATTGAAAAATCAAAAATTCAAAAATAAAGTGCGATGAAAATAAAAATGTGTTGCAAATATTTTTTTAAAATACTATTTAATAAGGGTAAGCATATATAGATATGAGTTAATCATTTATATACTGGCAGTGTAAAATTTTTTTACACTAACAACTAATCAGATCTGTTAATAGTGTCATGTCATTTGCTCATTTAATTAAATTAAAATA